AAATGTATCAACGTTATAATGTTTCATATCGTTCGGTATCAATAATTATTGACATTTTTTATAACCTTTTTTAAAACACAGAGCTATTTAATTGGAGTTATTTTTATAGTGCAGCAGTCGTGTCTGTCCGTCTAAAAAATGTGCTGAATATGTGTTCTGTGTGAATGGCTAGGTTTGGGTTTTCACCTAATCAAGATCTTCTCCGCGTTGAGCTTCTATATTTCTCTAATGTTTTGAATGAATATGAACTAGTCGTGCAACTACACTTACATCATCATCACCGCGTCTCGCTCCACTGATGACGCTCCCTGACGCACTCCTAACATTCAAATGCAAATGTTTATTTTAAATTCGACTCATATTCATTCTTTACTCACAATCTCTTCATCACAGGCAGCACAGCACTCATGTTTGTGTTTGTGTGCGGTCTGCGTTACTCAGAGCACGTGCCTACAGTATATCATGCACTATATCGAACATTTTTATATCGTTATCGAAGAAGGTGTACCGTCGATAAATATCGATACCGTTTTATCGCCCTGGCCTTTCCCGTATTTTCTAATAATATTACCAAGGGGCAACATGTATATTGAAAATAGCAGAGTACCTAGGACAGATCCTTGTGGCACTCCATACTTTACTGGTGATAATTGAGATGACTCCCCGTTTAAATAAACAAAGTTTTAAAATAATGTTTTGAAATAGATTTTAAAAATAAAAATATTTTTATAAATTGCAACATTATATCTATCTATATTCATCTATATATATGAATTAAACATGTATGTGTAACCGTTGAAAAACGTTTGTAACTGTTATTGTGCTGTGGATATGAATCAGTATTGCGTGTGATGTTGACTCGTGTGTGTGTGTGTGTGTGTGTGTGTGTGCGCGTGCGTGTGTGTGTGCGTGTGTGTGTGTGCGCTGCAGGTTGGCCCCTATGCGTCTCTACACTCTCTCTAAGAGGCACTTCGTTCTGGTGTTCGTGGTTTTCTTCTTCTGCTTCGGCGTCTCCACTCTCATCGGTGTGTCAGGTAAGAGCTCTGCTTTCCCAGCATTCACCTGCTCGCTGTCGAGCTCCTAACGTTTCATTCGAGACCCTCAGAGACCTAGTGTGTCATTTCACAACTCTCGTTCAGTGCACTTAAAACGTAAAAATGCCTGTTTATTTGAACACATCTACCATTTAAATCTTCCGTTATGATGAAGTTACTAAACAGTTTATTTTGAGTGAATATTATAAGTCTCCAGATCATGAAGCTTTATATATATATATATAGATACACACGTATATAAAATCCAGACTAGATCGAATCCCAGCAGACTGAGCGCTGTGTTTCAGTAACTCTAAACGAGTGCATTCTCAGAGAAAGGCACACAGTGGCTGATTTCTATCGTGGCAGGACTGAAACACACAAAAGCAAGGCATTATTATACGAGATGTGCAGCTGAACTGACTGATAAACGTCTCTCCTGCAGGACCGAAGATCATCAGTGAGAATTATTGCAACAGTTTAGACATCAGCGCCAATGGATCAAAGGTGAGAGTCGTGCGATCAGCTGCAGATTTGCTCCTAAATATTTATTTCTTTTGTCTCTCCTGCTCACCAGTGCTGCATTTGTTTGATCATAAAAACAGTAAATATTATTAGAATCTAAATCAGCTGTGTTCTATGTGAATATATATTAAACTGTAATGTATTTCTGTGATGCGCAGCTGTATTTTCAGCATCATTCCTCCAGTCTTCAGTGTCACATGATCTTCAGAAATCAGTATAATATGCTGATCTGCTGCTCGAGACACATTTCTGATTATTAGCAGTGTTGAGAACAGTTGTGCTGCACAATATTATTGTGGAAACCTTCATAGTGTATTTTTCAGGATTCAGAATATTTCATATTTTTATTGTATTTTTAATCAGATAAATGCAGTCTTGGTGAGCAGAAGAGACTTCTTTCAGAAACATTTAAGTGTCTCTATTATTCCAAGCTTTTGAGGGTTAGTGTAAGTGTATTTTGGGGTTAAATGTGAGTGGTTTTGTCTTCAGACCGGCCCTTTCAACCTCAGATCTCAGCTGCTGTCCAACTACAACCAGCAGCTCTGGCTCACGTGCATCATTCAGCTGGACAGCAACAGTGAGCCGCGTCTTCATGCACTGATTCACTGGCTCTGTTTGTGAGCGAGTCGTGCTGATGAAGTGTGTCTTCAGTTGCAGATTTGAGTTTGAGGGAGTTTGGGATGAACGTGGAGCTGCAGGGTGTGACGCAGGACGCCAGCGTGATGCGCATCAGCAACAACATGCACAACAAGAACCGAAGCCTGCACTGCACCGCCGTGAGTGTGTGTGTATGTGTGTGTGCGTGCGTGCGTGTGTGAGAGAGAGTGTATGTCTCTGTGTGTGCGCGCGTGTCTGTGTGTGTTTCTGTGCACGTGTCTGTGTGTGCACTTGCCTGTGTGTGTGCGCATGTCTGTGTGTGAGAGTGTGTGTGTGTCTGTGCGCATGTCTTTGTGTGTGTGTCTGTTTGTGTGTGTGACGCTCCGGCCGTCAGTCCGATCCTCATGAGTGCGCGCGTGTGTGTCTGTGTGCGCGCGTGTCTGTGTCTGTGTCTGTGTTCTGTGTGTGTTTCTGTGCACGTGTCTGTGTGTGCACTTGCCTGTGTGTGTGCGCATGTCTGTGTGTGAGAGTGTGTGTGTGTCTGTGCGCATGTCTTTGTGTGTGTGTCTGTTTGTGTGTGTGACGCTCCGGCCGTCAGTCCGATCCTCATGAGTGTGTGTGTCTGTCTGTCTGTCTGTGTGTGTGAAGCTCCGGCCGTCAGTCCGATCCTCATGAGTGCGCGCGTGTGTGTCTGTGTGCGCGCGTGTCTGTGTCTGTGTCTGTGTGTGTGTGTGTGTGTGTGTGTGTGTGACGCTCCAGCTGTCAGTCCGATCCTCATGAGTGTGTGTGTGTGTGTGTGTGTGTGTGTGTGTGTGTGTGTCTTGGTGGCTGTGTGTGTGTGCGCGTGTGTGTGTGTGTGTGTGTGTGTGTGTGTCTGTGTCTGTGTGTGTGTGTGTGTGTGTGTGTGTGTGACACTCCAGCTGTCAGTCCGATCCTCATGAGTGCGCGTGTGTGTGTGTGTGCGCGCGTGTCTGTGTGTCTGTGTGTGTGTCTGTGATGCTCCGGCCGTCAGTCCGATCCTCATGAGTGTGTGTGTGTGTGTGTGTGTGTGTGTGTGTGTGTGTGTGATAGAGCCTGAGCGGGCGTGCCG